CTGTGAAGGGAATAAAGAGAAAGGGAACATATGAAGAACACCCAGTCTGAACAAAAAGCAGGCTAGGACAGCTGCCAAGAATCCCCAGGCACACCAGACCACAGCGCAATTCACATAATTTCACAGGACTATTTGGCTACTGGTTAAATAACTACTTTCTCTCCATTTTTTTCATTGCACTGTACATTGCTCATTGCAGTCAGCTGCAAATTGTTCACCATAATTTAGTTTATGAAGTGCAGCAATACATTAATATAGCCTGGGCACAGTAAGAAACGGCATAGCAAGGAACGGGACTTCTGCCAAACGTGACCAAAAAAAAAAAAAAAGATGTCTGTGTGAATGAAAGGCCTGTATTAGAAAGAGTAAAAGTGTCTTTAAACACCAGAAAGAAGGGCTTAAAGAGACACTACAGAATGCTCCGTTTCACCTGGAATAACCAAGAGGTAGCCAGGCTGCACCCTTAAAAATGCCATTTCTCTGGATCTTTTGAGAAAGAGGTTAGTCACTGACATCAGCATTGTAATGATGTTGGCATGACAGTGGAGCAGCACTGGTGAACAGGGACAAGAGACCTTTTGGTGTTTAAATGTTTTTACAGCCCTGTCTCTCAACTCCCTAATTAAATTCAAATTATTCCCCAGCAGCTAAGACACAAGACTAACCTCGCACAAAATGATTCTCTTCGAACACAAACTCATAGCTATAAGTACATTTTAACTTTTCCAGCTGTACTCTCCCCAGATCCTAGATTCAGTTAAAACAAAAACTAACTCCCCTTTCAAATTCACTAATAAAGCACTTCCTAAAATCTCCTCAATACCTGCTATTTCACTCATCTTCTTTGATATACTGAGTGTGTAGCTGACCCTAGTAGGAGCACTGCCATTATGATATGCTCTTAAAGGAAATCCATGGAATCAACAGATTTATATGGGGATACTAAAAGCTCCCAAAGAAGAGCTAGTATAATTTATTGAGTTTTATAGGGCAGTTTGAAAATCTGGAGAAAGCTGGTAATATTCTGTTCAATTCTATAGAGTCATGTGGCTAGAGCACATGGGGGCTGAGATTTAAGATGATGAGATCATGCAGCTCAACTGAGGCATTAAAATTCACAAGAAATCTATAGCTAAGTCTCTCTGTATAAGTTTTGAATGTTCCAATGTATATGATTTCATCCTACTAGTTCTATTTTCTTTTCTAAGAAGGGCTGCCCAACTAATAAAAATAAAAACACATTTGGAAAGAGACCTTTACCCCTATTATGATTTAGTACTATTTTATCTTATGCCGAGACACAGCTGTTCAGATATCTTCTGGGCCCTTACTGGTCACAAACAAATTATCATATTTTAAATTAGATTTTATGAGGAATGATATGCATTGCCGACCGATCAAAACCAGGTAATGCATCATTAGCTTAAAAGAAGGAAAGGGTTTGGACTGTATTCAGTCCAACGCAAACGCAAAGGATGAGTTGGGCACATGGGAAATCTTTGTCTGAACCCATAATGCATCTCAGTGCAGGGTGAAGTACAGCAAAAGTTCTTATGCTTAAGGACCATGCTACAGACTGACTACACAATACTAGACTCTCTAAAAGGCAGAAACATTCAACAGAATAACCCAAGATCTACCATAAACTTTAGTCTCCAGTTACAGGGAAATATAAAAAGAAAAAGGTAAACTCACATATTCTGAGTATTTTTGGAAAAAGCTTTCTACTATGCATTATTTATTAGTTAACTGTGGCATTATATAGCTTTGTAACAGTTGTGACTTATTTACTCTGTACTGCACCTTTACACTCCAAAGGAGTCTTCCTGTCTCCATGTGCAGCCGCCACCGTGTGAGCTTCTGTGGGCTGGTCCACCGACAATGCAAGACACTGTTTTGGATCACCCCTTTGTAGTTTCCCTTGATCTTAAGTAAGGGTCTGCTTGTAATAAAAGTCTGTGGCTGTTCTTTGGTACAGAAAGACACTGGCTGCTCACGATCCCACTGCTTTTACATGTGAGTCATGTGCTTGTGCTTCCTCTGCTAGGAACAACCACCCTACTGCTCCTTGGACCACTGGCTGTTTCCCAAACCCATTTCCCCCAATGGAACACTTCAATCAGTGAAGTGATGGCTCTGTGAAATTACCTCTTGTTCACTTCACTTGTACTCATGAGACTAACCTGCTATACAAAAGCTAAAAAAATTAGCAGTTATACCTCAGCAAACTGAAACAATGCTGACTACTCAGTTTGTTTTACAGTGACAGGGACATCTGGGTGCGATGTCCTTGAAGAGATCTGGCAGAAAAACAATTATTCTTGTTAAATTATGTCTTTAGCTTCAATACTGAGCTTCAACATTTTACACACTGATATCATGTGTGGGAACACTCCCAGTACATGACACCCTTAAGAAGGTCATCAGAGTCTGTGCCAAAAATATTTGCTTTTGTAAAGGAAGGGCAAATGGTAATTGCTGAAAAGTACTTAAATCAATCTCACTGTTATAATCTCCATCAGAATGACTATAACAGGATAGTTTTTCACTGAGTAGTCAGAGGAGGAAAACAAAACAAGGAAAACCACTTTATATTTCACAGTACAGCAACAGTGTTATTTTACTGCAATATGCTGATGTTTACAAAGCATAAGAAAAAGCAATTTAGGTTGGAATGTTGTAGATGCAGATAACAGTTGCATGAAAACCTCAAAATAAGACTCTGGACAAATCCCAGTAACTGGAAGAGCTGCACTTTATCCAGTGTAGATTATTTCCTTTTACAAGAGAGAGAACATTTCAGATTAAGATTTGATTTGCCCAAATGCCCTCAGCTTTGCTTTGAGGCCCCAACTCAATAAAAACCTGTTCTACTTTACTTGGAAATTAAAGCAAGCCAATTAATAGGTATCTCTAATTAATCACAGATGAATTCCTTCCAATCTGGTAACTTTACAAGAGAGATGGACAGATGTGGTTGTGCATTGGCACTTTGCCCTGCAACTAGCTGAAAAGCCAATGGGACTTCATAGGAAGTAACAGGCCAACCACCTGATTGTGGTTTCAGCACCCATCAGAATAGCATTCATTGACTCTCCCCCAATACTTCCCAAGGTATTGTGAAATGAACACACACTATCATTAGGTGAGCTGTGAGTTCCCCTAGGTATTAAAATGCTTACTAGGAAGCCCCAAGCAAAAGGCTATTAAAATTGGGATGAAAGATTTTTATTCCTTCATAAAACTAGTGTGCAAAACCTACGTCAGACATATTTAATGTCTATTACACATTTTATTCTCCTATTATAAGTTCAGGTACCTTAAGGCTCTAGTAATATAGTATTTCAAGGTTTTGCAGTCCTATCTAGGAATTCAGAGTTTGGTAGATCAAGACAAAAAGCCTATTCCATACACACACATATTTTATGAATTATAATAATAATAATAATAATAATAATAATAAATGTGTGTGTGAGAATATACATACACATACAGGATGGTATGTGTATGGAGACACATATGTATGTATATACACGTATGTACTGAGATACACACACATATATGGAATAGGCTTTTGTTTCAAGTCCAGCCTGCCAAACTCTGGATTATATATCCACACATATATTTATTTATAACAGCTGAGGATGTAGCTGAGCATTTTCAGCTTTAACTGAATATTCTTTTGCTGATGGACATAGTTATATAACTTATTGTACAATCAACTATATTTAGCACAGATAAAACACTGGTACTCTTGTGTGTCCTTTACTTACTTATCATTTTAATAAAATGAGGCAAAATACTAAACATCAGTATATTATTTTTGTTTCTATGACAGTTGACACTCTTTGGTACTCAATATCATGTCAGTGAACATGTTTAACTTGTATACTTCTCTCAAAAAACTGCAGCATCTAGCATCTATCAATGACGCTGCATTGTATGCTGTACAGAGCAAAACAAAAACTGCAGAACTTTGTAATTACTCTAAGAGCCTTAAAAATTATTGCTCAAATCTCTCTTAAAAAGAAAAGGAAGACCCCAGGCTAAAAAAATCTAGGTATTATTTTGCCAAGAAGGGCTTAAAAATAATATCAAACTAATTAAACTTAAAAAGAAAATAAAAAAATCAATGAATGTGAAAACAATTTGCTGGTCTGCAAGGATGTGCGCCAAGTTTAAGCCTGGAAGGGACCGTTGCCTCTCAGTACCAGTCCCTAAAAACCTGAGCTTCTGTTATAAACACTATCATGCTATTAACCACAGCCCCTTCCTGGATGTTACTAGCAGAGAGCCCATCTTATGGATAGACTCTCAGAAGACTTGAGTTTCTTCAAGATGACTATGGAAATCACTCTTTTGTATCAGGCTGCCATTGTGAAGCCAAAAGAGGAAGGTGAAGAGATACATTGTAAAACAGCTGTCTTTTCAAACAGCTGGTAAGTCATGACCATATACTCTGAAGACCTGCACAAAAACTTGCAAAACTCACATGGGACCACTTGTTACTCAGGGCAGGGCTGTCCATCTTCCAAGCAGTTGGAGGCTGCATATACCATAGACTGCATTAGGGCAAGCCACGGCCCCCCTGGGCTGCACATGAAATGGCTGTCCCCACTTCTCCGCTGCCCTGCATGCCTGAGGCTCCGTTATCATGTGCCTGCAACTCTCCCTCCACCACTGCACTGCATGCTCATGTGGGCACCCTCTGCTGTACCATGCACCTATGCCCCTCAAACTTCCTTCGCCCCTCTCCTGTACTGCTCGCCCCAGGCTCACCCTCAGCTCCCTGTGCTGGTGCAACACCCTATCCCCTGGAGTAGGGACAGGAAACAGCAGCCAGAGGAGAGAAGAAAAGCCCAAAACTCCAGCTGCTGCTGCAGGCATCGCATACTGGTGGGGGCAGGGGGCTGCAATTTAACCCCTCATGGTCTACATGTTGTCCACAGGACACCAGTTATACAGCCCTGATCTAAGGTATGAATGGACAAGTAATTGATCACTGGGAAAAAGTGGGGCTTTACTGCAACAGCTGCTCCATGCTAACTGCCTGTCTGTCCACTCTCATTTCACAGTAACTGGAAACTAAATGGTGACAACTTACCCCTTAACAAGGAGGGGTAATATAAAGTGAGGTTTAGCTTCCACTTACAGACTTGGGTGGGTACTGCAGCAAGGCTGACATGCAGTAAAAACCCGTTCCTTTTTAACCTTGGGTAACTTGCTCATATGTCCATACCCCAAGATGCAGGACTGGGTCATGTATTTTAGTGTGTTATACGACTAGTTAATACAGGAAGATTTTTAAAACTCCCACAACTGACCAACAATTACTTTTGATCGAATCGAACATAATAACAGCCATAATTTAACTCAGTGGTGTTCAACTGTTTTGCTTGGTGGGCCAGATGGGCAGTACCCAGTCCATTCTAGGGCTGGATCCAGTCAGCAGTCCCAATCTGGTGCCTGGGGTGGGCATGGGAGGCCCCATCCAGCCATACAGAGAGGTGCAGGGACAACCTGGGCCTGATCTAGCTGTGTGGTGGAAGTGGGCATGCCTCAGCCCCAACCCAGGCCTGTGAGAGGATGGGGGAGGCATGGCCTGGCCCCAATCCAGCTGTGCAGGGGAAGGGGATGTGGCCCAGCCGTGGTCTACTTTCATGGGGGAAGGAGGCATGGCCCAATGCCACAGGGAGAAGGGGCATGGCCTGGTCCCAACCCGGCCGTGCAGAGGGAAGAAGGTGCGGCTGGGCCCTGATCAAGCCATGTGGGGAAAGGAGACATGGCACAGCTTCGATCTCCTGTGCGGGGCCTTGGGAATTTGGCAGTGGGGGAGGGATGCAGTAGTAACTGGCACTGTCCACTTGCCACCAAACTTCCTGACCTGTGGGTACACCTGTGGGCTAGATGCCATGGCTCTGCACGCCAGATTTGGACCACAGGCCAGAAGTTAAGCATCTGATTTAACTAAACAGTTTTGTTTTAAACCTACACTATGCAATCTCATCTCAAAATGCCATAACCTGCGAGTATCAAGTCTTTTCTGCTAATGCTTTTCCTGTACACTCTCTTAACTGAATGCTTTTTTAAACCCACTATGCTACTTAGTATCTCCACTGCATGACATCACTC